GTTTGGCCACCGGGGCAAGGTTTCAGCCAAACTTTAGGTCACGTTTCATCGTGTTGATGCTCTTAACAAATATTTCTTGAAAAAGAAAAAAAAAGGTGGTCCTGTGACCTTCAGGTATTGAGGATCCACAGCCGAGTCGCCAGGAGCCGCTGGAAACCTCGAAATGGGACCATTGACTTTTATGGATGTGGCCATAGAATTCTCTCTGGAAGAGTGGCAATGCCTGGACACTGCACAACAGAATTTATACAGAGATGTGATGCTAGAGAACTACAGAAACCTGGTCTTCCTTGGTATTGCTTTGTCTAAGCCAGCCCTGATCACCTATCTGGAGCAAGGAAAAGAGCCTTGGAATATGAAGAGACATGAGACTGTCATCAAACCACCAGGTTCACTCCATCAGCAGTCTACGGGAGCAGCAATCCTCAGGGAAATCGGAGATGACTTGCTTTACAGGAGGAGAGAAGTAAGAACTTTGCTGTCTGTGCAGACAGAAAGAATGGCAAGATTCAGATACATGTTACTAGGCAGAGGTCCTAGGGGGCATGAAAGTACACTAACAAAAACTGGGCTTAAGAAAGTTAAGAATGCATCAAGAAAAGGAATGTTCAAGTGTCCCTGCAGTTTCTGCGTTTCTAGTGGATGAGATCCTTCTCAGAATGCTAGAATAGGGAATTATGACACCAAGCCACTTCAGCCATAAACCCTATTCTTGCACTTTTTTTGCTTGCTGGTAATTTTATATAGCAGACCAAGAAAGCTATTCTCTGCTAGTATAGACTATACACCAATAATTTTGATAATGAGTTCTAGGATGTATTTTTCTGGCATCTTTTTCTTCCTAGTGTGATGCTAATAATTTATAAGGGATCTGTGTAGTTTGAATGCATTTGAATAACTTTAGCTCTGCTGTTTAATTTGACCCAAAGAAACCAAGAGATATAAGTATTCCCATGTGTTTTAGAAGCCCAAAGTCAGTGAGGTGAAACCCAACATCAAGAAATTGAAGCAAAGTTACTTGTGGATAAAGAAAGCATTAACTAGTTTAGCGAGAGTGTAATAAATAGACTTTCTGGCTTTCAAAACTTTGGGTTACAATAAGAGCAAACTTTATGCTATTTTTACAGTTTTCAATACAAAAAGTTGTTTATATAGCAACAATAAAGTTGACATTTGAGTACCTTTATAAAAAAAGACACAACAATATACTTTAATCTTCTAAAAAATAGCTTCAGTTGCAAGCAAGTATTCTTCATTATGTTTGATCTCATTTGTTATTTGTGTTATTGATTATATCTTTTTTGTACATTTATTAACAGATGTTTATAAAAACTTCTAGGCTTTTATAAATTTTAAAGAATAATTTAAATTTTTTTCATGATTATGATAATGCTAAAGAATTTAATTTATTTGTATATGCATATCTTTNTCTTCTAAAAAATAGCTTCAGTTGCAAGCAAGTATTCTTCATTATGTTTGATCTCATTTGTTATTTATGTTATTGATTATATCTTTTTTGTACATTTATTAACAGATGTTTATAAAAACTTCTAGGCTTTTATAAATTTTAAAGAATAATTTAAATTTTTTTCATGATTATGATAATGCTAAAGAATTTAATTTATTTGTATATGCATATCTTTCCCAGAACAATGTAATAATTAGATGCTGTTTTTCAATAAGTAGATTTTTCAGTAATTTTTCGATAATTAGATGCTGTTTTTTTGAATCGTGTTATTTTCAGTGACAAAAACTCATTTTAATCTTTGATATGTAGCATACATGCAGTGCCAATATACTTTCTCAGAATTTAGTTAATTTGGAAGGTATTTTTTCTTCAGTTTATTTGCTAGAACAGTTTTGCTGTTGATATTATTCTCGCTTAACAGATTTTTTTTTTTTAAGTCTTTGACCATAACACAATTTTCCTCTGGCCTGCAAATTTTTTGTGAGCACATTCCCTGGTTATCTTATAAGAAGACTATGCTTGTAAATGACACATCACTTTTCTTTTGCAGTGCCCAAGATTTTCTTTTCATCTGTGACTTTTAAAATTGTGTTTATATGTGTGTTTGTTATAAATATCTTTGTGCGTATCCTAGTCTATTTGTTGAGCTTCTATCTTTTTTCATCATTTGCTCTTCTAGAATTTTTTACTTTTTATAATTTTTGCCTTTATAATTTTTTGATTTTTTTAATATTTTTGTGCTTATTCTAATTTTTTATTTCTTTATAGTTGTCTGTTTCTCTTTCACTCACTATTATTTATTTAAATTTTTGTAATTAATTGATACATCTTCATTTTATGGTTGCTTTCTGAACAGTTTATAATTTTTATATCAGGCTGTTTTCCTATAGTATTTTCTATGCATTGTAATTTTTTATTGAGATTTGAACATTTAAAAAAAACTACCTGTCACAGTCTTTGTAATGTAGCTTTTCTCCTGACATGCATTAAAACCAATTGTTTTAGCTAGAGATTCTGGGAATCTCTCAGACATGTTCTTAGGATGTATCTTATCTGAAATTTTTTTCTTTATTTTTAGTTAAATAAATTTATTAATGTTTCTGCTTAATGGCCGGTCCTCATTTGCTACATGTGTTTTCTCTCTGTCGTACTGCAGTATCTCTACTGCTGTAGCATTTACCTTTGGTCTTAGTGACTCAAACTGTCATTCCAATGAATANAAAAAAAAAAAAAAAAAAAAAAAAAAATTAAGGAAGGATGGATTCTGAGTCTGCTACTCACTTGATACACAACCTTAGTTAGGCAGGGCACATCTTGAATCACAGTTTCTATTTCTATCAATGTTGAGATAAAAGGAAGGTAACTCTGCTAGGTTATCTTCGACGCTCTTTCCACCACCAGCAGTCAAGACCCTAAAGATAAATTTGTTCTTCTTGTTACCACTCACCTGTAGTTATTTACATGCTTAGCAAAAAAGTCAAGACAGTTTCACAGCCCTATTCTCTTACCTGTGCTCCAGCTCCTGGCATCTCTGAATGGTTTCCATACATAATTCGTCAACCCTACGATGGTTCCCTAAACAAAATCTCACACTTAGCTCTTTGAGATTGTTTAATTCATCCTTTTTTTTGAACCTCCCCTCTGCCCCCGTTTCATAACCTTGAAAATAGCCAGGTGCCCTCCTTGCAATCACTTTGGATTAATTAGCCACTGTTTATTTGTAAGCGTCAGGCCTCCCTACTACCACCATCTGCTTCTTGTATTCAATGTTTCACTGTCTATGACTGCTCAGTGTTAGCCCTGATGACGGTGTTTGGCCACCGGGGCAAGGTTTCAGCCAAACTTTAGGTCACGTTTCATCGTGTTGATGCTCTTAACAAATATTTCTTGAAAAAGAAAAAAAAAGACTGCATTTTTTGAGAGAGAAAAAATGTGTAGACATGTACAGTCCATGGTTTCTATTAAATTTAATATAAATTTTGCCTGTTTATATTAACTGTCATTGCATTGACATAATAAAGATTAACATAGCATTTATAGTTCTTTTACTATCAGCTCCAATAAATAACAGTTAATAATTGGGCCAAACTTTTACCTTCTGGTTCCCAATAATTGGGCCTTTGTAAATCTGAGAGGAAATTGTAAAATCGACTCTCAAAAGACTTCTTTCACTAGGAGAGCACACCTCAGCTTCTCCAAAGAGTTCCTGAGTGGCCTTTGAGGTGGTGGACACAGCATGGTGACTGCACTCTGGAGGGGAAGGGCCTGTCCAGTGTTCTTAGAACAGTTTATCCTGTAAGAGGCGTATGGAAGGATGACCCTCAAGAAATGTTAGTTCTGCCCATCCTCAACGTGGCTCACTGTGTCAGTCCAAAAGAATTGCTTTCTCTACTCTCAGGAAACAGGAAGCTAGAGTCCTCCCTAAAAAGGGAAAGAGGGAGAAAGAAGAAATACTACATATATTTCTACACTTGATCTTAGTCAAAAGGCCAAGAAGCGATACCACATATATTTCTAACATTGCACTTTTAAAAATACTTGATGGGTGAATAACTTACCCCACTGCCCCCCAGATTATAAAACCATTTTGCCAAAAGTTAAAGGACTTAATATTTGCTCTGTGTTTTGAGGTACTAGAAAGAAGTTTTCACTGTAAAGAATCAGGCCTCAACTTGCAGCCAGTAGTGATTTTATGTTGCCTTCCAGAGAGCCTCAGCCACAGCCCAGGAATTCAAACACAAGTGGAAGTGGGAACTCAGCTTGTCTCAATATCAATAAACTTGTCCTTATAATGAAAGGCAAGACTTGTTTGCCAGACCTATGAGGCAAACATACCTGTTTTGTGTACTGCAGAAAACTGGTCCATGGACAGTGTCACTAAATGAAAGCAGAAGCCTTTCATGCTGGAAAGGCCTAATGAGAATCAAGAGTTGCCTGATTTTACCACATGCTCTCAGATGCCTGCCTTGAAGAGATTAACTGTGTCCACCAGCGGTTGACCCTTTATAGCTGGTCCTGAAACCTATTTAAGCTTTGCCAGTCCCCTTGCTGGGCCTTAATACTGAATCAAGACAAGCTGATTGACGCTGATTTGGGGTTTCTACAAACAAAGAAGGAAGAGTGCATAATTTTCCGTATGATTTTTTTAATGGAAAAACATCTGACCCCAGATAAGTTCATTTATAAGTGAGATCTTGAGGTTTATTTATTTATGTTTGTCAGTTCCTTAAAGGGAAAGAGAGAAGTTGATTGTCTTTGCCGCACAGTTTCATAAAACCACTCTAAAATGGAACAAAATGAGTTGTTTCCAAAAAAACAAAAACAAAAAACCCCAAAATGTTTATGTCCCTATATGCTTGGTAAGTTTAGTTGGCTGGCATAAAGAAAATAATTTAATTAGGAAAAGGAACTAGGAAATTGCATTAATTTAGTGACTTAAATATGAAAATTAAAGGGAAAAAACCAAATGTACATTAGCCACATGATTTTTTTAATTCATAAAATATACCATTTTCTTATTTTCTCTTTTGAGATCTGGAGAGCTGATAAAGGTTTAGCAGGAAGGACTGACCTTGTTAGAAGTGAGAGTCTAATTTTGCTGTGATAGGTTTATTCTCTTTGCCCTCTTGCCTAAGACGTTCTCTTTAAAATTCAACTCTTCTATAGTTCCTCTCTTTTACTAGAGTCATGAAAAGCAAATACCAGATCCCTGAAGTCAAGATCATGATCATTTGTAAGTCCCATCTTGTGAAAGGGCTCCAGTTGGCTAGTACAGCCCAGTGTCACAGTTAGAGCATAGGTTTTGGGAGCAAAAGCCCTAATTTAAATTTGTGCTCAGGCACTACTTTCTGGTTGACTGCAGGAAAATGTGTTCAGCTGCAAAATGGGAATAATCATTTTC